CGCATGCATGCTCTCTCTCTCTCTCTCTCTATCTATCTATCTATCTATCTATCTATCTATCTATCTATCTAATCTATCTGACCTATCTATGTTTCACCCCTCTCTCCCTCTCTCCGGGAGCATACAACAAATAGACACCAGAATCCCATCCACAAGCTTCTTTCCCACCAGGCACCGGTTCCTAAGCATGGCCCTCCGGAGTTTAGGAGCTGGAAAAGACGATCGGGGTTACCACTGCTTTAACTGCTTTCAAACCAGTTGTACACGGCAGGTTGATCGAGATGCTGTTCAACGACGAATGGGCGTCAGAATCAGGACCAGATTCATCCACACGCTTCTTTTGTCATAGGCCAGGTTTCTTAGCATGGCCCACCCAGAGCATAGGGTCCAGAAAAGAGGCTCAGGGTTACCAGAGGGTTAACTGGTTTTAGCCAGCCGTTTAACTCGTTTCACCCGGCAGTTTCACTGGTTTTAACTTTTAACTCTTAACCAGTGGTTTAACCAGTGTTCAACACGATTTCAACTGGTGTTAGCCAGCCGGCCGTTTAACTGGTTTTAACTTTTAACTTTTAACTCTTAAGTTCTTAACCAGTGGTTTTACCGGTGTTCAACACGATTTTAAACATCCCCGACATCGTTCCACTGACTCTAGAGGGGTATGACTGCCATTTCCCAGACCTTTTTGTTTTCCATCAACGAGTTTATGATTTCGGATTTCCCTGTTTCTGGCTGTTTCTCCTGTCAGATTCAGATCTTAGGGACTGCCGTGTATGTTGAACTGTTAAGAGTCTGAACACAACTCAGGTTAGAGTTCTGGGAGTAAGAGAGTGGAGAATTTTTTCCAAATGCTTCTGTTCAAGAGGCTCAGGGCCACATAACTGCTAACTTCGTAAGGATATTTATAATTTTTTTCAAATGCAGGCAACAGAAGCATGAGAGTCATGAGACCTTCAGTCGTCCGGGACATCCCTTAGAAAAATTGTTGAAACGATAGAGAGAAGATTAACATAAGCATGAGGCCTTCAGTCCTCCAGGACAGGCCTTAAAAAAATGTTCGAACGATAGAGAGAAGATTTGCATGCCCATTTATTTAAAAAATAAAAATAAAAATCACGAGACGTTCGAGTTGAAGTCCAGTCTCGGTGACTAGCGTTTCGAAATGGTTCCTGGTTCAAAATGAGTTCCTGGTTCAAAAAAAAATTCCTGGTTCAAAAATGTTTCCTGGTTCAGAAGTGGCTCCTCGGTTGAAAACCACTCCTGTTCAAAAATGCTTCCTCATGGAACAGAATGGAAACTCTTTCCAGGTTCAAAAATGGTTCCTGATTCAAAAATGGTTCCTGGCTTAATGTTTAGGCTTCAGGGTAATAACCTTATAAGACAGTCATTGCACCAGTCATAGTTGGGATTGTAGGTTATGTTTAGGGCTTTAAGGACTGGCCCATAGAGAGATTATTAACTTCCGGTCTCCCGTTCAGATCTTCGGACTGTTCAGGAACAACCGTTCGGATCTTCGGACTGTTCAGGAAACAATGTTTGTACTCTGGGCATTCGCAATGGACCTCTTAAACAATTTGGGGGTTAAGTTCATCGTCTAACCGTTTTAACGGTTTCACACTCAACCTAAGTTTACCAGGGCAGACATGGTGGTGATTGTTCAAACTCAACGCCACACTGATTATGAAATAATATATGAATGTATACAGGCTATATTTCCTGGTTTGATGCAGTCGTGATGAGGATGCGTATATTCCAGGGAAGACGGCACGGGGATTGACAGGTTGGGGGCAATTTTTGGACAAGGCCCCCACACTGATGTTATCTTCATGCAATGACATGCTTACAATGCACATGATACAGGTCTCTAAATGACCAGGTTCATATTTTCTTGCCACCCACATAGCACCAGTGTGCTTGCCACTTTGACTGTCTAGTTTTAGTTTCCTTGCATTTTTTGCTCACACACACAAAAAAAAAAAGATAACAGCTCCTCATCCACACATGTAGCTGTTGTGGCAAAAAAAAAAAAAAAAGTAGTTGTTGCTAAACAGATACTGAGTTCAAATCCTGATGGATTCAAAAAGAAAAGGTTCTCCTTTTTTTGAAGAAGGGTGTAGCGGCACCATAGCTCCTAATATTATTATCTTACTATATCCATCTGATTAGGGTTCGAAGTTCAAAAAAAAAAAAAAACTGATGGATTCAAATTTCAAAAAGAAAAGGTTATCCCTTTTTTTAAGAAGGGTGTAGCGGCACTGTAGCTCCTAATATTATTATATCACTACATCCATCTGATTAGGGTTCGCAGTCAAAAAAACAAAACAAAAAAAAAAAAAGGGTTCGAACTTCAAACTTCGAAGTTCGAACTTAGAATCTGTGCATTGACAGTCAGGTGTGTGTGTACCATTTAGCCACATGGACAGTCAGGTGCGTGTGCACCATTTAGCCACATGGGCATACCGTCTTCCCCCAAATGGAATGTACAGTCATTACCGGCAATTTATCGCCTGTATTGACACTGAAATTTGGTCCAAATGCAGCTGTTGTGACCGTATGTTCTATTAGGGGGGAAAGATGGTAGGGTAGGGTTCTGTTTTCTCAAACTTGCCCAGGGGGAAAGAAGGTGACAGGCCAGGGCTCAAGTCCCTGCTCTTATCAATACAAAATTTACAAATTAATTACAAAAAAAATTAAAAAAATAAAAACAATATTGTCCTACAGGCTACAACCTTCGGCAAGGTGTTTTTGTTTTTCCCCATGTTCGAAAAGGAACGAGGAAAAATAGGAAATAGAGAGAGAAATGGAAAGGAGAGGATATACACTGACACACGAAAGAAGAGGAAAGAGAGAAACATGAGGATAGGTGATAGGAAGAGGATACTCCAGTTCTTTGCTGCACAAAAAATAAAAGAAACATGTCACAATAATGCAGAAACAGGCCACCACAAGGAAGTAACAAATGAAGAGCGAGGCGAAAGGTGCGGAACAGGTAGGAAGAGATTCAAGAGAACATCAGACAAAGAAATCGAAAAAAGCGAATAGCACAGAGATCCAGCTCTGCTCTGGTAAATAAAATGACCAGGTATGTGCACACAGACGAGCATGCACACTCATGCAAAGGAGAGAGAGAGAGAGAGAGAGAGAGAGAGAGAGAGAGAGAGAGAGAGAGAGA